TGCGTTTAATAATAAATAAAAAATTCAGTGTGTATATTTATGATATCAGTAGATATAACTGTAAAATTTAAACGACAAAAGAAAGACGAATTATATGTGATAAAAACCAAGAAAAAAAAAATCTGACAGTTGCATTGATAAATTTCCAAATTGTATTATCATTATATGTATTTTCTTTACTTGTGCGTATTATTTTATATTATTTTGTAATAGACATTATAGAAATTAATAATTAAATCGATATCTGTAATAGTGGAGAATTAATTATATTCGTATAATCCTATATGTATAAATGTAGAGAAACTACTTTTTAAATATTTTAACTGTAATTACAAAGAAAAGAAATACAACGTTATAAAACACTAATTGAAAGAAAAAAAGTCAAGCCTACAAATTTTCATTCACTATCTAAACAAAAAATTGATTTTTTATTTGTATCACTTTCCTATCACGCAGAGATATACGTGCTTTCTACGAAAGATATATGCGTAAAGGATATATGATGCAACTGCGTATCGCGATTAAAAAGCTCAAGTATAGTTAAGTGATACCTAAGTCCATAGAAAATATTTAGCAGAAAATTTTCTGCATTCACAATCCGTATTTAGAGATTTGTAATTGTGTAACAATAATAACACTAATATGATTACCGATCTTCCACGATCGCTGCATTTTTTACACTACCATACCAAAAGTAATATACACACGCATGCATACAAGTTTTTCATTCAATTTCTCTGTACATAAAATCTATATATACACAAAAGTGCAATAATAATAATATACTAACCGATTACCGATTTCACGATCGGGATACCGGTGGTGGCGGTGGTATCGATCTTCTTTATGGATTTTTTATCCTCCATTTATCAAGCGATGTTTTGGATACTCTCGTGCTCGGTTTCGTACTCTCAGTTAATACCTATATAGTCTTAATCCGATGTATGCACTGGTATCCAGTTGGATTTTAACTACGTGGCGTCGATTCGTCACACACACAATAACACACGTCTTTCGAACACGAAGATTAACCTCCGAGCACCTCCGAGGGTAGCGTGAAGGCCCCGAAGAGTATAATGGCTCTCTCAGGAATCCCTGCAGCCTGCATTGCCTGCAACGCAATATGGGTGGGAGAAGACGGACGCGATCGAGTGGTGGTTGTGTACACCTAAGAAAAGAAATATTTAGAAATGAAAGCGATAAAGATAACGATAAAACAGGCGAATAGGTTGAGAGCTGACCAGATACGCTTTGTAGTAAGACCATTTTTAATATATACTCCTTAATTACTTGACCCAATCACATGCAATTTTAAAAGAAAATTTATAACAAGATGAGATATAATAAAATATACAAGAGAGACTTTACAATTAACAATGTTAAATAATAATTATTTTAAAAATTTATAGTGTAAATATTTTTTATACAATTATACAGGATATCTCAGATTTTAACGACTGTGCTGGTGTATTTTAAACATAAAGAATAAAAAAAGTATGCCGTTTTGCTGCTAAAGAAGTAATTATTTAGCAGAGATCTGGACCAAAGATATTTTTCAATTCAGTTCTAATTATGGTTATAAAACATCAAATATATCTGTTACGGTTTTATGTTTCAATTTCGGTTTCGATGTTTATAAAAAAAAAAGAGCGTATAGAACAGTTTTAGATTTTCGATTTCACTTCGATACGGGTCTCTCATTTCTTTGTTGTATTTAGCTTATTTTTTTTATATAATAGTCTCAAAATATATTTATTGTACAAATTTGAAAGAGAAACTCTTTATTTTCTATACTCAAAATAAGAATTTATTTTTTTTAATATTATAAAGATTTCATCGCAGCGACTTTATATAATAATTAAATACATAAATAAAAATTATTTTAATTTAATAATCTTGATGAAAGATAGTAATAAACTTATTTTGGATTTAGAACGTATTTTAAATAAATTTTATGTTTGTGACAAACTCATGATAGATTTAAAAATATATTATGAATTGTTTAAATACTTCAAATAAACAATTAATATTTGCATGCAGTAATTATTATTCTGTGTGATGAGAGAACATAAGAAACAAATTTTATTTAAACATAGGTCTATAGAAATTTTATTAAAAAACTTGTAACAAAAAAATAGAAAGTACTGTGAATGAAAAAATCTGCTCTTATTATTCAACCCTTCGGATGATAAATCTATTCGACCTATATTCAATTATAACAAATCTGTCAAAAATATTAAACAATTCTATTTTCTTTATATTACATTGAATTAGATTATTAAAATTTATTAAAATATATTTAATATTCGTTTTTTCTTTATACAAGTTGTCATTATTGGTTCCTTAAAATTAATTAATACTTTTTAATTAACATAAAATAAATGAGTTTAAAGACCTAGTACCAGTAATTGTGTTTCAGATTTTGGCGCCAGCTTCAGAGAATTAATAGAATATATGATTTTATCAATGTTCCATTTTAAAATGTTACTTCGCATCTGAACAATATTAATTCCATGGAATATACATACGATATAGAAGATTGTTTTTCACAAAGAATGGATTGATGAAGTACAATTCATGATAGAAAATATTTTAATTTTTCAAATTCATTTTGAAGCGCGTGAATATGATTGGCTGATTGTTTGACGCAAACCTTTAGTCACCAACATTGTCAAATTTATTTATATTTAGTTTTCATTTTTGTTTGTAACTCTTAATTTTTAATAAAACTTCTATAAAATTAAGTTTATAACATTTTTTTCTTATTTTTACATATAAAACATACTGACGCAGTTTAACTATTAAAACTTGGAACATCTACATTATCAACTGCTTATAATAATAGAATATTTGAAATTTAAATATTTCTTAAGTAATTATAATTGTAACAATTACAGAAAAAATTAAAAATTATTTTTATTTAAGAAAATGGAATGTTTTTTATGTCGACATTTTATTATTTTTTCTGATAAAAATCTATTTTTTTCCTCATAATGGTAAGGATCAGTTATTTCTCGGAAAGATAAAAAATATTGATAATATTACTAGTAATAAATGTTTTTCAATTTGTTATCGGTATTGGCGAGATATCCCTATAAGAATGTATCATATTTATCGTGTTACCACAACAAATTTTATAATTATAAAATTCATTCAAATCTAGAGACATTTTCAACTCAATGCTCTCTAGGGAAATGTTAATTTTTATATAATGGTAAGCTCGTAATATTCTGTTATAATATAAATGTTATAAAGAAGCATTGTAATATAAACTTATAAATAGGGGAAATCCCCTTTTTTATTTTGTGTGTAAGTATATATAAAATTGAAAGATATAGTATATGATCTTATTATATACCATATTCTATCATTTTTATATTAAATTAAATATTATAACACAACTTGGTGATTTTCATGGACTGAGGTATAATTGGAAATGATTGCATAATCTTTCATAGATGTACTTTTTATTTCGAATATTATATTTGGCGAATAATAATAATTACTTAAATAAAGTCATGTGTTACGATAAATGAAGCAAACATCACTATGTACATATAAATATTACATGATTCGCTATATCGCATTCTATCGAATGCACTCTACACGTGGCAGCTTGTATAATCTACGCGCGAAAAATCGTTTAGCATACTAACTGCGAGATATTGTTAAAACTTTTACTTTCAACATTCCCTTCAACACTATATGGAAAAAGGCGCACTCTGTTAAAAATTCAACATCTGAATTTATCGGACAATCTAACATCAGCTTGTAGCAAATAGTGCTATTAGCTTACTAAGCTTACTTATACAAACATGTGCTTTGTATTATATGACGCGCAAATCGATCCCGTATGCGCTGTCAATTTTCATAAGGCGAACATACCTGAACATCGAGGATGATTAACGGGACCCAGAATAATCTATTGACGAAAACAATTATTTAGGAAAGTCACACAGGAAATGTCGCCAGTAGAAACGATGTTGGATTCATAATTTCTTTATGATCCAATCGCATGTAACACGTTGTACTAAAAAGATCATCTTTTTTTTTTTTTAATTTTGCCTTGTTCTTGGTGGTTTACATTTTATTCTCGACGTTCGAAATAATTTTAATGGGCATACACGCTTCTTTTACATGTATTCTATACAAGATACATGTATTTCTTGCTAAAAATTGCAGAATCAACGATATCCATAAAAGGAATGGAAGATAGAAGAAAATTATATATGTAACGATCTCTAATTCTTTAATAGATAATATAAAAATCTGTTGGAGATATAATTTTCAACCATTTATGGGCATAAATTATTCATATACTAGGCAGCTCTCATATATGTATTATTCTTATTATTACGATCAAGCAACTACTTCGAATTCAGCTATTCTCATTTAAAAAAAAAGCTTATGGAAGTTCTTACTGGCGAAATGTCTTCTAGGAAGAGCTTATTTATCGAAAAATCTTATTAATATAATCTATAGTGGAAAAAGTATTACATTATGCACGAGAAATCTGGAACACGTTGCTTGTCGAGAGATTTAATCTCTCTATATCGAATTTCTCGTCGCAATGTCTAATATGCATATGTGTAAATATATAAGCTAGTTGTAACAAGCAGATGCAATACGCAAACAGAACTTTGTAGATACTAATAAGAATATATACAACTATCGGAATATTTTCATTGTCTTTGTCATAAATGACATGTCTTGAAAACAATATTATGAGCGCGTATTCTTATTGCACATTTAATGTTAAATGTTTTATGTCCACAATCATAACAATAATTATATACTCGCTTAAAAAATTATACATAAATATTATTCTCATTGCAAGTGAGAAAAATATTTGTTATTGTTTTCTAAAAATAAGTTTGAATAAAAATATGTTAACGTATGTATATACACGTATGTATATACATATATGTAAATATATATATTCATTTCGAAGAAATAATTTCTTTATAAACAAAAAAACATAGAAAAATAGGAGAGGGAGAGAAGGGAAGAAGAGGAGAAAGACAGAGAGCCACATTTAATACTAAATGTGCAGCGAGTACTTCAAATACCTATTGAGAACATCAGCAAATCTATCGCATATTTCATACGGACAATAAACATCATTAAATATGCACTCATAAGCAACTGTTAGCATACACTGAGAATAATCGAAATATTATAATGGAAAATTATTACTTCATTAAAACTTGCTACACCGTTTGATTCATTTTCAGATCAGTGTTATGCTCCGTTGCGTCTTCCATCGAATATCTATACTTTTCGATATCCTTTGCGTTTTCTTCTGTCTTAACGGAGTTGTCAGGGACACGATCATTATCGGTTTGACACATTTCACCCGATGTGGTTATATTAGCTTCTGTTTTGATTTCTTGCTTAACCGTAAATGATGGCTTTCTGGCCTTAGTTTCCCTTGTTGCGTCCGTTCTCTCCCTCTCATACATAAACGTTTTTCGTTTCCTTCGCATCGGCTTGCACACCTTTTTGTACAGCACATTCATCTCCTTTATTCTGCTGGTCGGGATCGTCCAGTCCATCTCTTTAGCTGTAGTATCAGAATTTCGTGTCGGATCCATACTGCTTTCATATTCCGGAATTTCCAATCCTAATTTATTCATGACCGCGACCATTACCTCGTCGACATTGCCATTGATAATTAAATCAGCCTTTTTATCCTACAAGTAAACATTTTTATCAGTGGTGAAATACTTAATACCTTTTTACAAATTTATGCCGTGTGATAATCCTACATGTTTTGTCGGTTGCAGATTACATATAACAAGACGGCCTCCGTATTTTTTCGTATATAAAGGCAGATTACCACTTGGAATAATTTGTAACGTTGTTCCCAGACATATACTTAAATCGGCGACACTAAAAGAACGTTAGTAGAAACATTATATTTAATATCAAGATATACAACACACTATTTTAGGTAAGTATTTTTAAGAATTTTTATTAACAGAACCTGAAACATTCCACAAACTATATTAAAACCACGTGTACCATTACATTTACAATTTTAATACAATTCTTGATGTACGAATGTTAAAGTTTGCACGCATAATAGCTTCGAGTATTTTATTATAATTTCTACTACTCTGAATGCTGATACATAATAATACAGTCACTTACCTGGAGTGAAGGTCAGACAGTGTCAAGTCGCTGTCTGGCAAATTATGCTCCCAATCGAGAATGGTATCGTGCATTCGGCCACGGCATGGGCGCCCACCTATTTGTTCCGATCTACATACAGTATCCAAGGACTTTTTCCCCACGCTTTTGGTTGCAAAATTTCGAATAAATTGTCTGCAAAATAATTTATATTCCTAATGCTTTTAATATTCTTATTACAAGAAAGCTGGCATTGCTATAATAATTAAACTCATTTTCTCATATTTGTTGTTCGTTGGATCAAACTTTTTTTAGCGGAATTAAGTATATTAATTAAATCTAAACAATTTTATATATTTTTTTGTTTCCTTATAAATTTGAAATTATATTTTTATGTGTGTGTACAAACCTGCCACATTTGTCACATTGCTCTGTAAACATGTTTCCATGCAACTCGGAAAGATACTGCCTCTGTATTCCTGATCGTAGATGTAGTCCATCTATATTCTGACTTATAATGAACTTTATTCTTTCTAAAAAAAACAAAAAAACATCGTGTATAGAAAAATAGAAAAAGAAAAACCGTTTATAAAAAGAACTTTGATGTTCTTTTACAATCTAGTTTGCCAACACTTACTGGCCTCTATCAATTTTTTTAATGCCATGTGAGTCTTTGTAGGGATCGCTTCATCAAAAGAGATGTTCATGGAAGGTTTTAAACCCTTTTGTTCCAATGTCCATACACCATTTGTACCCCTAGTACAAAGAAGAATGTCGCTCAAATTAGCGATATAAATAAATATGCTGTTCCAATTATTGTCTATAAAAAATGATTCTCTATTTGTTTAATTCATAAATAATTACAAACTTTATTTACATATTTGAATTCTTTTATTTCTTTTTTTAATTTTGTATATTCATTATATTAGAAACGTAAACAGTTATAAGGACAAGTTCAAATACATAAGCATGTACATTTATGTTTATGTAAACATATTTAAAAGTTAAACTAGTGACATGAGAAAAGATTTCTTTATATAAAAGTGGGTAACGACTTAGCCCTGCTCGATGTTTTTATTTATCTCATACTCTTTTAATTTTTAAACATCCTTCCGTCTTCCTTTCCACGATACGTCAAATCGCAGTCTTCAGCGAGTGGGAAAGTGGATTCAGGAGTGAGTTTCAGGTATGGACAGGGGTGAAATTCATAATCTTGATAAATGACAATGCGATAGTCACCGAAAATCGGGAATACCCGCCGCAGTGCTGATACCGGCTCCGGTATGGACCACGACGTGACGTGCGCCTTGTATCCAGTCGGCCAGGAGACCGCATTTCAGACGAAGAGTCTCGACGCTATCGTATCTCTGCAAGCAAAAAAAAAAGGATTGAAGAGAACGAAGAAAAAGGAAAACAAAGGAAGAAAGAGAGAAAAAAAAAAGTAGAGCGTCACTCGACTCCGCGAGGAATTGGCGACGTGGACTAAAACGCCATCGCGCGCGTTTACCGCGCGTCGGCGAGATAACTTCGGCGAGAAAAGAGAGAGTAGGAAAAAAATAAAAAAGAAAAAAAAACCTCGTCCCGCCGAATATTTTTTTTACCTCCTCCAGTCCCAGCACTCCTTTGTTTTCGTACGGCGATAACCCGTCCGCGTAGCTCGATGACATTTTTGCGCGTCCGCGAGAAGTCCGAGGTGAGTCCCGTTCCGATATCCGTAATTACGACGCCTCGAGGGAACGCCACGAACGGCGATACGTGCCCGTCGTCTCCACACGAAGCGGGTCCGACGCGATTTTCAGCCGCGCTCCGACCGCCCTCCCATGTGCCAGACGAATACGTAAACAATATGAATCGAGAGCTAATGACCGCGTGCTGTTATGTTTATACGCTACGAATGACGATAAGTGATAGGAAACTCGAGACCCGCGGAGAACGCATTCTGTTTTATAGACTGCACTGCATGCAACGAAATGGCACTTGAACAGAAAGAAGATAATAAACCCCCCGGGGCATGCGCTCTGAGCCGCGCGCCTAGGAGCGGCGGTCGGTCGTTCCGGACGCCACGAACGCTTGGGTTCATCTCGCGTCCATTCAATTCATGCACGAGCCATCGACCAAGCGCGCACGGCGGGAACTTCGAACCGTCGATACGACATTTCGAAACGTGACACACGCACGGGAATACTTTTCCCAAAAGCACTTCCACGGAGTCTCCGCTAATTTAACTTGAACCATTCCATTGAATTCCGTGTATCATTTTAATTCGAATAACTGTATAGAGAATGATGATTCAAAGACAAATTCACATCGTGCGTTTTTTTTTTTTTTATACAGTACTAAGTTTTAATTTGAAGCTTTCGTTTAAAAACAACAAAAGAGTGAGCAATTTAAATAGAAATAATAATTTGTTCTTCTGTCTTATTATTTTCATTAAGGATCAGTCGTTATTATATTTATGTTTATTTAAAATATTTATAATTTCAATGAACGGCATTCCTTATATCGTAGAGACCTTTTATATTTATTAATAATAATAATTCTGATTTTTCTTTCTTGACATATAAAAATATCTAAAATATTATAAGCATTTCAGTTTTTTAATAATATGTATGTATATAGATAAAAGGTATATAGTTTACTAAACTTCGATTATTTTAAACAACGATTAATTCGTCAAGGAATATAAATATTTTATTAATAAAGATAAAATTATTAAAAATTATTTTTTGTAGTTTGATGCAGTGAAAAAATTTACTAAATCTATAACAAGTTTTTTTTAATTCACAATACGTGTACATTTATATTTTTAATAGTATTCTAAGTAAATATTTGTGATAAATTCGATCACTTCTGGGCTATTCTGGATTAGTGTAGGTACATTAAACGCTATTTTATACATATACATGTAGTATTTAAATACCTAATGTAACCAACTTTGACAATCAAATAATATACACATGTAGATTCTGTTCAGTAACGTGATATTATACAACTATTAAAAAATTTAGTATCTTTTCTGTGAACATTTGGATTAATAACGATAAATATAGTTAACAATTTTGTCACAGACACGACGACATTGATTGAGTTTTGATTCTCAATGAGATGACTTCGACCAAAGTTTAATTAATCTCAATTACTGATCAAAGTTCTGGTTAAACTTAATCGCCAAAGTTGCTCTGAGGATCATGTATCGAAGTATCATGTATCGAAGGAGCATGTTTCGTGCAGTGTCTCTCGTTGACGGTAAAAAAAAATTACGCCACTCGCTAAAAGATTTCACGAATCGTAATTGGACTTAGGTGGCGTCTCGCGTTCATCGTTCGTCGCTCTCGCCAGCGGTCGTTCTCCACGTTCCCTTCGATTTCCACCGATCTCCTAGGAAGTTTCCTCCATACATGCTGCTTTCCTCCGTACATGCTGCCGCCTACCGCTCCGCGGTCGCGTTAACCGTTAATCAAGTGTTCTGCTGCTTGGTCGAGTGATGAAGAACGCGCGTCGCGACGAAGAAAAATGCGGCGTGTCAGGAAGAAAAAGAAAGCCGACTGCTGAGTAGCAGACTCCCCCAGGTCACCCCCAGGTCGAGAGCATGCGGTCAGTCATCGAGAGAGACGTTGCGTCGGTTTTCGCGAATAATCGGAACGTACGTATACCTATACATCTACGTGCATCAGGAAGGAAAGAGAGAGAGAGAGAGGGAGAGAGAGAGAGCGCGAACGAACCGCGCAGCGTGTCGGTCGCGTTACGTCGTCGATGTGTGCGACCAGGTGATTCAAGAAACACTCCCCTCCCCTCCCACTCTTTCGTTCACTCTCTCTCTCTCTGCCCCTCTCGCACTTATTCCGACTCACACCCTCTCCGGTATATAACCTCAAACCGTCGGCGAGCTCGTGTCGCGTCGCTCGACGTTCCGCGTCGTGTGCGTTTTCGGCCGCGCGGCTGAACCCGAGTTCCGGATGTGCGTGGCGCGGTTCCTGCTGTCGCAGCGGGTGTTAATGAGCTCCGGCGGTCTCTCACCACATGAGACTCGTAAGTATACATTCCTGTATACATCGCTTTTTTTTTTCTCTCTTTTTTCTTCTCCCTCCTCCCCCGTTCTTCGTTGCCCCTTTTCGCGTCCTCGTGGACTCTGTGCCCCCCCGCGATCGCCGCGCGCGTCCTCGACGTGGGGGTTTTTTTTTTCTCCTCCCCCCGCGTGCCGGACTACTGTGTTCGCGGCCTTCTTTTCGCCGTCGGCGGTCGGCGCCGATAAATCCCTCCCCGGCGAAATTTTCGCGCGTGCCGGCGCGCGGCGTGTATTCCGCGCCGGAACTCCGCGCGCGATTTCTAACGGAAACGTCGCGTCGTTAAGGACCCCCGTGTGTTCTCCTCCGGCGTTTATTCTGTTTTGCGATCGCACGCGATGTAGTACCTGTGCGTTTCTTCTTCTTTCCCCCCCCCCTCCCCTTTCTCGGAAGATAGGAATTTCATTTCACGCAAAGCGACATCTCCGTTCGTGTATGTTATACCCGTTATCCTCGGGATGTTGCTCTTGGAATGCCGCTTTTAGTTCGCGCCGAGAGTTGTTCAAGTTGAAGTTAACCAAAACCGGAAAGCGCAACTATTTTAAGTGGAACCAAGACGGTTGGAGCGAACCCTTCCACCTACTTCGTGTAAAGAGGATGGGTGTTCTTTTGATGGTACTTTGGACTTTTTCAAGTCAACATTTTTCTTCGATTTTATCTTCTTCTTGCTTAATATTTGTTTTTAATTTGCATTGATATTTAATCTGTGCTGTTACTTTAGGAGTGACTTCGATTGGACTCCGATTAACTCGTCATCAAGCTGTCTGTTGAGTTTTGTTAACACGGATAGAATTGTTAGTTATCATTTGACACGAAAAAAAAGATTCGTTTCCATTAAGAATAGGTTAATTTTAATTTCAATTGAACTCGCTTTTCATCTTTTTCTAGTTTCAAGAATTAAAAAAATATGAAAGAGTGAACCAATATTCCTATTATATGTTAACTCGTAATTAATTGTTAGTTGTTTATTATTTGACATATGAAAAAAAATTTAGATTAGAATATGCTGGTTTATAAATAGCCACTAATATATCATAAATCAACTTTGCAGTTTACTTTTTTCTAGTTTTAACGATTAAAAAAAAGATAAAGAGTAAGTTAAAAAAAAAACTAAAATTGAAGTTAATTTCCGTTGGTAAAAATGGAAATAAAGAACGATGAAATTTTGTTTGTATTATTCTGCCGATCGAAGATGTAATTAATCACATTCCATGTGTGTTAATAAACGGTTTCCGTTTTTATTTTCTCGAGTTTTTAAATGCACATGAAAATGTTCTCACGTCATTTTTGGCGCGTGTATTTTTCCAAACGTAAGTCTCAGGATTTCGATCGCACGATGTATCGGCGATCTCTCTCTCCAATGAACGAACGAAATAATTAGGACCTGGCGGCCACGCGTTCGGTGCTAAATGACACGCTAAATGAATGAGAATGCGAGGCTTTGTGTCCGATGAAAAAATATACGTGTGCTTTTTTTATAACGATCCGGCTTGCGCGATACTCCATCTGTGCGGGCTCCTGACGAGCACGTGCTACTTTTGTGTCAATTGCATAAGGTTTGTTGAGAAAGAAAACAATTATCCAGGATGACTCGAAAATCAATAATATCGTACACACCGAGTGTTTTGAATTGTTTGACCAAGACTATGTACGCGATATATTATATACGCTACGGGCTGCAGTTGCAGGCTTGCCTAGTTATAGCATTGTTCCGGTCCTTTTCGCTTGATATCATAACAGGTAAACTCACGGAAAATTAATTTTATACGTACAGGATAGTGTTTTGCAGCGAATTCGGTTAGACGCAACTAGTGCGCACTGCTGCATATTAAAGCCGTTGCATACTGATTTTATTTAAGTAAAAGTGAAATGCAAATATTTTGAAGAATAAAAATTGGCTTATTCTTTATACAAATTATATGAAATGCACATTTTTTCCAATAATGCAATAAAATATATTAAATCTTCGGTGATTTAATCCGTTTCTACATTATTAATCACACATTTTTACATCAATCTATGTATACGACAGCTTTAATGTGCGAGACAGCTACTTTAACATGAAAAAAGAATTATTTTTGTATTAAAGTATTTAAATGTTTAGGTATTACACGAGTGGATACAGATCTGAAAGTAATTTTGCTGCATTACAATAATTATATAGAAAATTCAAGCGTGACAAGTAATGCTATATAAACACTTTTAAAAACTCATTCTAGCAAACAACTTGAGCGTGCATAATTATTTTAATGATTTTGCAAATTATTTCAATAGTCGAACAAAATTATTTTTAAATATGTGTGTAGTTAAATTTTTAAATACTTCAGCAAAATCGTTCTTATTATGAACAAATTTGGTTTGAATTTTTCCACAGGAGAAAATTATCATAAGTTACATAATATAAGTATTGAATACATATGTTATTATATAAGATTAAGATTTTTTTTCGATTACCTATATGAAATATACACAGAATTTTTAAAAATAAATTCGAACGAATGTTAATATTTATTTCTTATATATTATAATAATTATATTTATATTTTAGAATGATTATTAATTTTAATATAATAAATAATATATAAATATCAATTAGTTTCTAATGTTCATATAGTTAACATTATTATTACCTATGTATGTTTTTACGAGTTAATAATTTTAGACGATATTATATTTAATGATTATTATGCTTTGTAAATGTCCTATTATTTTTTTGCAG